CTCCCAAGCGAATCGCGTGGCGCCTGCGTGAACGCCGCCCACGCGTCGCTGCCGTGCATTCACGCGCCGGTGCGCCACGTTCATTCGGCTATCACTGAAAATTTTGAGGGAATCCAGCACTCCAACCCAGGGCCCTTCAAGAAGTACTGTTTTTTTCATAGATTACACGGGGTGTCCAAAAAGTGACTGCATAAGCAGGAAAAAAAGATCGAAAATGCCACAAAAAAAAAAAATTGGCGTGTCTGTCTAGAATTGGCATTCTTGAGTTGTGCTCTCCTATTGTTTAAAGAAAATTAAAAACGAAAATGGAATGAAATATAAAAAATAATATTGCGTTAGGCACTTGGGCACGGTATTTACGCATGGAAATAATAAGTAATTTATCCCAAGAACTGGAAAAAAATCTGGCTGATGAGAAATAAAGCCGTGCAATAAAAGCCTGTTTTGTATATCTATTTCGAATCGGAAAAAACTGTCAATAATAGAAAAAAAAGATTCCCTCCCCACAAATTTTTATTCCAAGAGCTTTAGTCGTAATAAAAGAGTGACCAATTTCGGTCTAAATTTTTGTGGGATTGAAAATATTTTCAGGATGCAAGAAACAAACGAGCGCGAAAAATTTGTGTTTGAATTGCAGTGTTTAAATTTCCATCTGGAACCGTATTCACCTTTTCTGGGTTATTCTGTTGAGCAGAAACCAAAAGCAACTGTAACTTGAAATGAATCCCTGTATAACCAAAATTAAACTGCAACTTCCTGTGATGTATGCACACGAACTAGAACAAAATGATAATATTTATTGCGTTGACTTTACAATCGACTGTGCGCTGCAGATTTTTAAACACGTGATGTTTCATGAAATCCATGCTTGACTGTTTAGTTTTAGATTTCATCTTTTACTTTTCTCTTCAGAAACGAATACCAGACCTTGCTTTGTGAAACATTTAATTTACCATATATTTTTTTAGAATTTACGGGTTGCCCCACGTTGTACCTGCAGCTGTTGCTTACCGATATACCTTCGGGTTTACTGAGGGTAATTATGATCAAGCTTATCTCTGCTGCTCAGTATGAGAAGGACTTTATGAGCCGCAAGCGTTGTTATCGGTCATCATTCATTTCCGCTGGTTACCATGATTTTTTTCCCCTTATTCTCGTTCCTGAAAGAAAATGTGCTTCTATTATTCTGGAAAAATATCCCTTCCCACGGAGTAGTTGTTACTCGAGGAACAAGAACCTAATTGCAGGGATGCTTTTTTAGACGAAAACTGGCCACTTTTTCTCTGGGAAAACAAAGTTATTTTGCTGGCTGACATTTTATCCCACTGGAATGCGTATTTTTTCCTCTTCGCTGCAATTTTTCAACTAATGATCAAGCTGGTCGGTACACGTATTTGCTTTTTTGTATTGTTTTTACTCTCAGCAACGTTGGTTAATTACAGTGCTGTATTTGAATGACGGATGTACTGTATTTCATATGCTCAGAATGCGACTGTTTTCTGCTGAAGAAATGAACATACCATAAATTATTAATGAATTCATCGCAGGCATACGATTCGAAGAATTAAATACATTGATTTTTTATATTTTCATATTAGATGTACATTCCGTGTTAAGACGAATAAGAACTGCTCACTTGTGGAAAAAGTAGACCAGTGAAATATAATTCTGGTTCTTTCGTATTATTCTGCCAGTATAGAGACACTAGATAGCAACGATGTGTGGAAATAAGTGAACCTAATCCGTGTTATAGTTATGTTTCCCTTTGTTTGAATCTGACCAATACAGTACAGTATTTGTGAAATTGGGTCAGACGTTCGTTCTGTAATTATTCACGCGTGTAACGTGATAGCGCCTTATGTTTCCGCCCTACCAATTATAAAAATAATCCTACAGAACAGTACTGTAAGTTGGTTCGATTTTTTCAGACGTTCTTCTGCAAGATTGGCAAAAACTGTTCCAGAACAATCGAAGGAAATTCGATGCTTTGAAAAAAAGCGACGACAGCACATGATGTCAAAGAAAAATCGAGTCTTTTGGTTTGAACAGGTTCTTCAAAATAGATAAATGTCCTGAATGTTTCTCAAGTGATGCTTGCTGTCTACTTTGAATAAATTGTATTATGTATTGTATTTTGAAAATGTTCTGTCTGGTATTTTTACTGGGTTCACTTGGGTACGAATTCATTGAAATTAAAATTCATAAAAATTAAAATTCAACCGCATGAATGCGGTTCTGCCAATTTTCCAAGTTTTGAGGGTCTTGATATGGAAGTAGGGAAATTAAATTTTTCAGAAGATGGTTAATCAATCGTGGTACGAAAGAAGATGTCACATCATGGATGGTTCTATACAGCATTCATGGAGAAAAAGCGGATTTCTTTCATAGCATCTTTACAAGAGCTTGAACATGAATCAAGTTTATGGATTTTGACTTGCAACCCGTATGAGGATATTTTCAGCAGAATAAAATTCCGTCGAGAGCGTGATTTTTAAAAACTAACATATTATTGGTGCCTGTGCAAAGCGAAACTACTTGTTAAGATGCACGGATTCAAGTTCTATGAAACCAATTCCCCCCTTTTTTGGTCTTTCTATTCAAGGACACGGAGCATATTTCAACACGTCCGACGGATTGATTGCTGTTGAATCTTGCAAATTTTTGCGGAATGGCGGCGATGGGATCAAATTCACGTTTCACGACACCGTACCGGAAATGCGATCCTTGAACGGAAGAAGCTATGTGGACATTTGCAAAGATTCTATTCCATCTGGAGCTGCGTATCCGGTGTATATTGTGGCCAAGCAGCACGTCACATCCTATTCTAGTCTGGATTGTCCACAGGTGAGCGTCCTTCCCATTGTTTAGTGTCTTTCTATTCTGGTGCATGAACCCCAAATTTATATATTTTTCATTTTATATTTTTCTCCTGTAAAAAGCTCGACGAAGGATGATATGCCCCGATTGAAACAATTCCAGAAATAGATTTTTTTTTAATGGGACGACGAGACGCAAAAATGTTGAGATATGATCTGAATTTGATCACTGAAAATGTTCTGACCATTATAATCGTACCTTCAGATTTTGAAGGAATTGAGTTTCCTTCCAAGTTTTCTTTTTTTCTCAATGATATCAAGAAAGGTTCGACTCTGACGAATCGGGAACTTTTTAGGTCTAAAGGCCCAAGGATTTGCTTTGAATGCAGGACCAAGAGGACATTAGAAAGGGAATCCGATCCCACGTTTTCGGGTCACGAACCGAGTTTTCTGTATATAAGCTGCAACCTATTGTTACGAAACGAATTTTGATTTATCATACATTAGGGCTTGCTTTTACTTCGTTCATGTTGAAGCGGATTCTTGAACGTTGGCAAAGTCTCACATTTTGGTATTGTTTCACTGTTATGTTCAACCATTGCAAACGCGGTATTTCGTTACATTATAATTGTTTTTTTTTTCGTTGTTTTCCGACCTTGAGCTTTTTTTTCCATTTGAAGGAACAAGGTTAATTCAACGTCAAATGCTGAAGAAATACAGTACTTCACAGTATATCGACATGTAAATGATCGTTCTGCTGCAAAAGATTGAAATTCTTCTTTTGACGAAAATGAGCAGCCTTGAAACTTGTGCTATAAAATGCGATACAGTCTTGAATCCAAGAATAGGAAATGATACTACAGTAGTGAAGAATAGTGAGGTACATCATGAAAGTATGGGGTAAAAAATTAAATGGCGACAAAATATCAAAGAACTGTGATTAGTCCAACGATGAGAGTATTGAAACATGACATCATAATGGAGCAATAATTATTATTAACAGAAATTCACTTAAAAAGCAAAAAAGAAAGTGCTCTTCGTTTATCTCGTCATCACTGGCTTTTTTTTACGTTTAAAGATAGCCAATAATTCCTCTTTTTGGTTTTCCTTGGGGCGGTGAATGAAATAAATTTCGAATTATTTTTTCTAAGCTTGGGGGAAACAATGCTGCTTATTCGATTGAAGGAAAATGAAAGTTTATAATGTTTCTGGTTCTTGTTTTATCTTTTTGCGTCCACAGGACTATTACAATGACTACGGCAGTGATGGCGTGCTCACGGTCCACTTCAACTACATGTACGCGGAAAAGGACGAGACTGGGGAGATTTTAGTGTATGACGGGACTGACGAGACTAGTCGACTGATCGGCAGTTTCCGTGTGTCGAACAACACGCGTCCCGCGTCGATGACGACCACGTCACGTGGCCTACGCATCCGATTCAAAGCCCGGCCACGCTCGGACCTCGTCGTCTTCATGGAGGTCACACAAAGTCCCAGTGAGTTCAAAATCCATTGTTCTACATTTTATTTATTCTCTGTGTGTATAAAACACAGCAAAACGAATTCCGAGGTTTTCTGGATTTGGTTTCGTGGAAATGATATAGTGAAATGTACGGTATCATCGCTGTATTTACAGTGGGTCCCAGCAAAACAAAACAATTGTAATCTGTTACTGCACACGTTTCGTCATGCCGATTTTTTTTATGCGAGACCCGAATCAAGTTCTCCAGATTTTCGTCACAAGACCGTAATGAACCCCGAAAACTGTCATTTTCCTAGTTTTCAGCGTACTATTTTGAAATTTGAATTGATTAGTTTAGTACGAGGGGTTACACGTTTCGCCGCGGGCTCGAAATGATCTGATTCTGAACACACCATTGATATTTGAAAACCTTTTTTTTCATCTTCACTAGTTCCAAGAGGCTAGACGGACACCTTCTCAATGTAATCAAAGCCAATTTGTACACACCTCTCAGCCCATTTGATCCATATGTTGAAACGGGACTTCAAATGTTCAGTTGTTGAATTTTGAAGCTTCCCCAGAACAGCAGCAGTAACAAGCTGATCCGCGCGGAACCGTGTAGCCCCTCGTATAACATTTCAGTAATCCTGGGAAGTTTGTGCTTTGCGCTTTTTGAATTTCATAAAGTTCGTGGATACAGTATGCGCAACAACTGGCAAAAGTTATTCTCTTCTTTTGTCATCTTCCTCGATTTTAAATTCCACATTTTTAGCCCGCAACTTTCTAAAATTAAGCGGTTTTTGGCGCGAAAAATGTATCATGTGCAGCATTTTCAATCCCTGAGTCAATTTTTTCCCTTGAAAGAATTACTGTAGTTATGCGGACTTCCCGCCGTGCGAGTCTTTCGTTATGTGGGGACCCAATGTACTGCAGTGTTAGACGCATTACGTGTACAAGTACTCTACCATTCTTCATTATTTGGCGCATATTTCGTTGCCGGAAATGAAAGCGGTTTTTTTTCATTCGGAATTGGAGGAGTCTGATGACTGTACTCATGAGTTCGTTACCAGCTAAATCTCTTCAAATAGTTATACGAGATATTAACGGTTCATTTGACTTCAGTCAATTTAAAATATTGATCCCTGCCGCATTTCCTCGGAGCAACTTTATTCACTTTGTTATTTGTAGTAAACGTTTCACGTTGGACCTTTAAATTGGTTTTGATGATTAAAGACGACGAAAAGACTCAGACTAGTACCCGTATGTCAATGAAATTTTCGGCGAAGAAAAACTTGAAAGATTTCCTGAAATTTTTGGTTTGTTCGACTGATCTATTGCCGTTTATTCTTGTTTAAATTTTTTTTCAATCCAGATTTAAAATTTTTAAAATATGTTCGTTCTCTGCTGGCACCCTCTGAGACTAAAAATACAGGCGGACTCTCTACAACGAACTTGTATTCAACGATATCCTCTGTATAACGATTTGTATCCAATCCCATAGGATTCTCTCCCCATATAATACAGGGTTGCTCCAACCGAATTCTCTCCAAAACGAATTTCATTTTCTGGTCTTGTGCGTTTTGTTGAAGAGAATCCACCTGTAGTCAAAAAATCGCTAGAACGATATACTGATTTAGCGGTAAATTTATTGTAACGGGAATTCTACCATTTTTTCACGAATTCAGGGCGTGGAAAAGCTTACGATTTGCGGATCGACGGTTCGGACGTGCAAGATAACGATGGACGCGGTGTGGACGTGGAGAACATGCGGTCGCAAGTGCATTTGCACAAGTCCGAGATCACGGGCAACAACCACGCGGCGGGTGTGAGCATCCGCGGCGGCGTCGGCGACGTCAACGTCACCCACTCCATCATCGCCCGGAACCAGGGGGACGGTGTCAACGTCACGCATGGCGGCGGCGCACGGAACGTGTCCAGGTAAAGTGTAGAGTATTGTAACATTGCTGTAATGATGTACACTTGTATAGTACACGTGTATACGAATGCGGAATATTCGCCTTAAATCGCTGCGTGGTTTGTCGCCGCTACGTCACGAAAATTGCTGGTCTGCGTGTGTATCGTCCTGAGGGCTAATTCCTGGGTTGACCTGTTTAGTCGATCCCCGCGAGGTCGTCATCATGTTTACTTCGCGTTTCGGTGGGGCCATCATGCTTCTCATCGGAAGGTCTGAATGAAGGTGTCAGAGCGATTTGAATATTGGATGCTTTTTTGGTGGGGATTAAAAATAAATATTCCTATGAAGCAATATATTTTACCGTAATTACTTGAGGTACCGCGTGCACCTTCTTCTCAAAACTAAGGAGCGAAAAAGGTGCGTGTCGTAGGTGCGTATAAAGTCGTAAAAGTTTTAAAAAGCTTTGGTGCTCCTCATGCTTGACGATTCATCCAACAGAGAATTTCTAAAAAATTTCTGCAGAATCTCAAAAAATTAAAAAATTGAGAAAAATTAACGTCCATAATGATAAAAATTGAGAAAAATTTAAATTACCGGTACAATGCATTTTATTTTCAAAATATTTTAAATTTAAGCCTCTAAAAGTGGGGTGCGCGCCTTACTCGATGGCACATGGTACCCATATAAATATACTATTTATTAATTACTGATCATTTAATGATTTGGTAAATGTTGCGTCTGCTGCTGCCTGGAATAACGTGTCAAAATAATGTCAGTGGAAGTATCTGTAGCAACATGTCGAAATCTATGAAAATTATGTCGAGTTATTCTGAATAGTGTTAATTCATTCTGCATTTACCATAGCCCAGAAAAATATACATGAAGTGAGTAACATTTGCATTGCTTGGAGAAATTATTCGTCGAATTTTTATCTGTAACTATAAGTTGTTCTGTAGTCCAATTAAATTGTTTTGCTTCCCCATTCCACTTGAATTGGTAGGATTATTTGGTTCAGCGAATCAGTTTTACAATCGAGCTTCCATTGAAATAGTTTCTGTCGAAAGGATTTGGTTAAAATCGAATTTATTGAATGATTCCAGGCGTTTTTTTTCCACCCCATTCTGTTCGTTTCAAAAAGTCAAAAGCGGAAAAGGCTAAAAAGTAAAGCATAACTTCACGTTCCTTGTTTACGGAATAAGATGGAAATTGTGGAACATTTTATTGTAACAATTCCTTTTACCTGAATATTTCTTTCTTTATATTTGAAGGTGCGAAATTTCAAGGAATGAAGGACGTGGGGTAGCAGTGTGGCTCAACAAAACACGACACGACTTCTCAGTTACACAGGAAACAACTGTGGAATATTCAGTCATCAAAGAGAACCGTTGGGCCGGAGTATTTGTTGGCAACTTCTGTACGCCCTTCGCCGTTGTTAACGTCAGTGGAAACGAGTTCTCCGATGGTATTAGCTATGGTGTTGACATTTGGTCCTGTTGGCACCCTGAAAACACGAAATACCCGAACACTCTGGTGCAAGTTGGACACAACTCTTTTTTGCGAAACAAAATTGCTTTGAGGTGAGGGAACTAAATCGTTTTTGAACATGCGCAAATAACAAGGTTATCGAAGACAGGGCAGTATTTTTTTTTTATTGTCGAACCTCTTCATGCCGGATTCCAGTGGACCAGCAAAAAATTTATTATGGGAGGCCTCGAGTTGAGGAGTGAACCAAGCATTTTTGTTGGGGAATAGGAGGAAGAATCGCTGGAAATTGTAATTGGTGATATTCTGGGCCTTGAATTGTTTCTTAAATGAGTCGACGGTCTGCTGAACTTGGAGGTAAGGGTTCTTTTGCCCGAATAACCCTTCACTTCCATTCAAAGCACATCGAGTGACATCTTTGCTTTTCTCGTCCTGTGTCAAAAAAAATTAAAGCCAAAACGCTGCCGGAAAATTTAATTTATGGATGTTTGAGGGAGAAGCCTTTCAATTAGGTTTTAAAAGCATTGTTTGTGAAGGAATTCAGACAGAGACTTTGAAAAAAAATTTCGACATCGAAGGTATTGGACTTTGAAAAGGTTCCAAGTATCGATCGAGGTTCAACTGTATTTCAACAGTACAGTACAATAATTTACGTGTCAGTGAGATATTTTTCAAAAATTAACCTTTTCTCCGTAGGAGGTCTCTTCATGATTAACTCACATCTCTCGTACAAACTTTAGCACCTCTTCCTTGGACAAGTGATGTGATCATCTTTTAAAAATGACTCGTTTCAGAATGGAGCCAGTTGCTGACGCCAACGTTACCGTGGAGTGGAACGAATTCCGCGAGCAGAAAGTCGGAACTGTGTTGATAAGAAACGGGGATCGGGAAGAGGTCGAATTTCTTCCTGCCTCCGTGGTTGTATCGGATAACACTTTCCGAAAAAACACCGGCATATTTGTGGCGAATCTCGGTTTGTCCGAGTTTGTTAAAAACCAGAACCTGACCTTCACGCGGAACTTTGTTCAGGACAACGTTGTGTCCGAACCGTTTGACTCACTGAATCCGAGAAGTCGAGTCGCTGCCGTGGTTGTGCTCACGTCTCCGAGTGTCAACGTGTTCCGGAACGTTTTCTCGAATCCCGAGTCAAAATATGAATTGGGCGTTCATTACGAAGATCAGAGTGTGGACATCAATTGCACGCACAACTGGCTCGGTTCTCGCAAGGTAAAAATCGAAGGCTTCTATTGAAAAAAATACTTTCAGTATTCCTCGAAAATGGAAGAAGTTGGAGAGAGGATCGTTATAGTTAGTCATGCTTAATCACATTGAAATGGTCGAACATTTTTTCTGGAATATGGAAAATTATGATATAAGAAAATTCCCAAAACGAAAGCAACCGAGGCAAATTTCTTGCGGCAAGAATGAACTTCCTATTTTTTTCTGGTTCTTCGTGGAATTTCGTTTGTTGGTTAGGTTGAAGCAAGCCCATTTCAGGTCACGAATGCTCTACATCGAATATATTTGACCGCGATGGACAATTTAAGATGGCAGATTTATAACATACCGAGTTTTTTTGCGTTTAGATTTAATTATTTCATCTACTTCTGACTCCATTGTACTTGCAAAAACAAGAAAGATAATCTTCGAACTTGTCTCCGGTATGGCACGGAGGAAATCGCGTGCCTTGATTTGCAAGGTAAAGTTCAGTCGAAGCTCCTTATTGAAGTCGAATTTCGAGGGACCAGTAAAAAAAAACTCGCGTTAGGGAGATTTTGAGTCAGGGCAGGTGAGGAACGCCTTTTGCTTGGGGAAAGCCAGAAGAATTACAAGAAATTGTATCTAGTATTATATACTGCAATACTGTGCCTTAAATTGCTTCTTAAATAAGTTGACAGGACGCTGAACTTGGAGGCAAGTGTTTATTTGCCCAAATAGTCGTTCACTTCCTTTCAAAACACGTCGTGACATCTTCGGTACCCAACCAAAAGCCCCCCCCCCCCCCTGCCAAAAGCCCCCCTAGTCAAAAGAAAGGTGCAGCTTACCATCAAGAGTTACAAGGAGACCTGTAATCCCCAATTTTTGCACCAAGGGGGGCTTTTGGACTACACCCGACATCTTCATTGCTCTCGTTTTTCCTGTGGCAATGAAATGAAAGCCAGAAGGCCCCCAGAAAATTTGAGTTGTGGAGGTTTGAGGCGAAAGCATTCAAGTTGGGGAGTTTTTAATTCAGTGTTTCCACAATGGAATTGAGACAGGAACTTGAAAAAAAACAGCATATGGACGAGGCATTTGACTTCGGGTGGTTATTCAAAAGTTATCGCATTTCAACCTTTCCAGGAACGCGACATCTATGACCGACTCTTTGATCGCAAGAACCGTTACAACTTGGCGAGAATCCAATTCAAGCCTTTCCTGCTCATCAGCAACAACCCGAACACGGAATCTGTATCTGACGACGAGATGTTCATTCCGGACTTCGGTCCAAGTGAAGACAAAGTGGAAATCGGAGGAGAAATCGAAGGCCGAGTCTTTCTCGATGATTCCAAGAACAACGTGTATTACGTTAAACAAGACATCTACGTCAGGCCTGGTGGAGAATTGACGATAACTCCTGGTGTCGTATTGCAATTTCATCACGGAGTCGGGATGATGGTCGCTGGGAAACTGCACGCAGAAGGTGAAGGTTCGAATCTCAAGGACCGAGTTACTTTCACGTTGTTTGAGCAAGAGAAACGCAACATGACTTCGATTAAAGTCAGGTTGATCGGAGGGAAAGACAGCCGAGAGGGCAGACTTCAGGTGAGTTACCGTAATTCGATCACCTTGAGTTTTGCCGTAGTGCGACATCTACCTCATAAGTGTCATGCGGCAATTCTTTTCTTTTCGTCCTGTCGATTTGCGTTTGGAATCTTTGAATATCAACTTTTGAGCAAAACGTTTTTCGTATGCGGTAAGCTTACGATTGTAGGAGGAAATCCTCTGGAAATGAAGGAAGGATTGATTAATGTCTTCCTAATGAACAACTGGATCATCTAAAACTTATGTTTCAAAAACTTGGTTGCGCAACAACAAAAATCGAAATAATGCTGACAGAATTTGTGAATCGAAGATATATCCGTAATACCGCGTGAATCGACTATATCTGAAGTATTATTGACCCACTGTATATATATTCGATGTAGTTAATTTGCAGTATAATTAATGCATCTTTCAAAATTTCGCTGCGGTGTGGGCAGATTTCTACATTATAAGCTTGCTGAAACCCACCGAAATACCGACGCGTATGTAAAAGAAATTATGATGCTGCATGTCAGGAACCATTAAACAGTGATGTATTCTTTAAAGGAGTTTATATAAGACTCTTCATATAAAATAGGAATATTACTCTTGTTTCATCAATTTTTCAGATAAAACAAGGTACCAGATGGGGTACGGTTTGTCGAATGGGTTGGACAATAGAAGCAGCGTCACTCGCGTGCCGTCAAATGGGTTATTCCCTGAATCCTTCTGATTGGTTGCTTGAACGATCAGAAATGCCTCCAGTTGGCACGAACGAAGACATTCTTTTCAGGTATGCCTATTCGCCGCACAAGGGTTTCTTTGAAAAATTGCAATTTTTTACTTTATCTTCTTAATATTAAGCAACGTCGAGTGCTCTGATCTCGACACGGACATCACTGAGTGTAATATTGAAACCAGCGACGATTTCGAAAATACTTGTACCCACGAGGATGACGTTGGACTTCGGTGTTACGATGTTTCTTGGGGTGGAATAAGGATGAGTATGACTGCGGAAAAGAGTACTTTGAAGTACGCTTTGATTGAGAAAGCTGGACTGTTTGATCATGCTACCAACACATTCAAACCAGGTTCGTTTCTTTTCTCTGACTCGTTTAATTCGAATCAAGAGCTGAAAAATCTAAGTTTGAATATTCTCGGAATTCGGAATCATTATTTTAAAACTATTTCACGCTTTGCAGCTATTCAAATCGATTTCGGTCGGCACATCCTTGATAATCTGGAAGTATCTGACAACTGGAGCGACGGGCTCGGAATGCTTCACTCCGACATTTACTTCTTCGATCCTGATGTGAACACGCTGTCGAATTCCAAGGTTCATCGGAACAGAGGCAATGGAATATCTATCCGATCATTGGGAATGAACGTGAGAAGTGAGTTGAATAAACATAAGATTGATTATTTTTTATTCAACCGTCGATATTTCATCGATCAACAGATTCCGACTTCGAAAATAATTGGTTGAGCGGAATCCAGTACAACGCATTTTTGTCAAGAAAAGAGCAGCGAGAAATCGTGTCGTGGTTGCGAATGTCGTCGTACAAAAAATATGATTTGTCCGCAATGGATGAGGGCATCATCATGCTGGAAAATCATGATCCAATTTTCCTCGTCGTCCAACAAAGTCCTGAAGTTGTTCCAAAAAAGCAGTTGCAAATCAAGGTACAGTACAATAAAAAGTGAATTGCGCATGATTTGTCTCACCCTTGTTTCGTGTTCTCTAGACGAAAGATGAAAACGTGATCGCAATTTACGTATTCAGTCCAATTCATCATCGATCAACCGAAAAATTGACGATTTATGATCATCAATTTGTGGACCTTGCCGATCGTGTGTGGGATCTCAGGAAGCATTTGCTTGCATTTCCAGCCAATTCCTCGTCGTTTGCTTTCAACTTGTTTTATTCCAGTGGTGAAGCACCAGTTGGTGGGATTGTCATCATGTTGAAAGCCGTGAGAGGTAATGATCATTTGAAAGACTTGCTTATTATTAATGCGTGCATGTTCTGCTTTTAAAACTAGAACAGTTAATTTTTCATTTGAGTTGCCTGTGCGACTTTAAAAAAAATGTCCTTCCCAGAATTTTGTATTTTATTTTTATTTCTATGTTCACAGTTAGAGACTTGCCAGTGGTTCCTGGAAATTTCCCGGGCGTTTTTCCTGCCTTGCGAATTGTGCAGTCGCGATTCACGTACAATCGACATGGAGTTTCTGCTCTCTTGTACAACCGGTATGTACAAAACTGTACAAATACGTTCACAATATTTATTTTCTCATTATACTTCCTTTCGCAGTTATTTGAGTGATTCGAGAGATCGATACTTGAGACCTCTGAAGGCGTATGTCGAAGTTGTCGACAGTAGCATAGACCAGAGTCAGCGTGAAGCGGTTTTTCTGCATACGCCGTTCAGAGAATTGGACGTGGATGCGAACATGACGGAGTTTTATTTCAGCTTCAATCGGACTCTATTCACCGGAAATTCCAAGGGAGTTCTTCAATTCAGCAGGTTCGGTTTCACTTACCTCTGTGCTTATTCGGGCATTTTGCTATTAATCTTGGTACTGCACACTTGAATGTCTATATTAAAAATGCATGCTTCAAGATCAATTTCATGCTATGCTAGTTATGTAAGGACTCTTTCTATGCCTCGATGACAGATAAAGGTCCAACTTCATTCTATGATAAAGTAATGCAGGAAGTGCAGAAAAAAAAACGTTTCGAAAATAATATGATGGAAAATTAACGTCGTATCGCTTTCAAAAATTTCCATTTGCTGCCAGACAGTTACGAACTGGACAGCCGTGGTAAGTGGGCTTGAATAACTGAGAATTCATTTTGGAAATCTTCTCGTCTTCCTTCATCATTCTTACGAACGTCTTTTGTTTTTCATCCAGGGATGCGAGACAATCGAACAATTTATTCCACTGGGTATTCCGTGACAACACGTTGGAGGGCAACAAAGACGGTGGCATTGACATAAATCTTCCCTATGTGTGGCAATATAATGAAAACCAAACGCACTCTGTGTATATGCGGAACAACACCCTGAGAAGCAATCAAAATTTTGGTGTGACAATTGACGGCCATTTCGCAAGGACAGAAATCCTGGAGAACCGATTCGAAAGCAACGAATGTAAAGCTGGACTTTTGGCACTCAAGGGCATGGAGAAAGAAATGAGCATCAGTCAAAATATTATTCAGAGGAATTTTGGAACATTTATGGTGCTGTTCAACATGGATAGTCAATCCGAAATACTTGGTACGTTTATTATTTTTTTCCTTTGCATCTTCATCTAGTACCGTGTGCTTGTTGCTTAGTTTTTAAAGCAGAGTCAACTTCCGCATGAAAAAAATGAACGCATTTCCTCCCTTTTTAGGTTTGGTCAGTGCCAATTTCCGAATGAACAAGGTGAAGAGGAACCGATTCACGGTTTTGCGTGGAGCGTACCTTGGCAAGTACGAACCAGCAAGCTACGTTATAGGCTTGAAAGGAGTTCAAAACATCAATATCACCAACAATTTATTGGGCGAAAATGAGATGGACTATGAACTCTTGGCTGGTATAAGAACCTCGAGCATCAATAACTACGTGAATGTGAGAGAAAATTGGTGGGGCACTGCTTCTGGATCTCAAATTAGACAGCAGATTTTTGACTTCGACGACTGGAATTCTTACGCCATTGCAAATTTCGAGCCGTTCTACACCAGCGACCGATTCGATTCCCCGTTGTCTAGAGATTATGAACACTCTTCAAAGCCAGGTTTGTATTATCGTCGTACTCCTGAATAAAATTTCTCTAAAGAATTTGCAAAATTGATGAAAAATAATGTAAACCGAATTAACTCGTACAACAAATTCATTCATTAGCAGAAATTGTCGAGAAAAAAAAAACAATTTCCTAATTTTGAGAAACTAAATTATTCTCTACATTAGTCTAATAATTGAAAAATGGTCTTCACTCGAAAGCCTTTTGTGCTTAACTTTTGTACTAGTATACAGTATTTGTTGGGAATCTCGCTGAATGTTTTGGTCAAGGTCTGCTTTTAGCACGCTCGAAATGTCCTTAGTTCGCATGAAAAAAAGTATTTTACCATTGCCGAAAGAAAGCTTCAATGATGTGTACTTCGTGCAGGAACAAACGCGGAATTTTTGGGAGGCCGTCTTTCACATCCCACGGTGCTTGTTCGTCGAGAGAAACCGTATATCGTGAAATCTGATCTAACAGTGGAAGATGGAGTTACGTTGAACATTGAAGCTGGTGTTGAATTGGAATTTTATCCGAGTGTTGGAATACTGGTCCTTGGTACTTTGCGAGCGATGGGCACGGAACGACGACCGATCCGCATGCGTCCGATTTTCGTTGATAAAATGCAAGTTGTGCCGATCGGAAGACACAGTCGGAGCAAGGCTATGAATTCTGCTTTGAGTTTTAAAAATCCAATGGTGCGTTTGTGCATCGAGGGAATTTGCAGTGATGAGGATACTACCGGAGCTATCAGCAATGCAGGTATATATAAGGATCATCTCTGGTTATATCGGTCAATACCACGTGTCGGTACCTATAAGTTGAGAGTAATTGCAAGGCGCCCTTAAATCGCAGATTTGTAATCACCTCGGGGAAGTCTTGATAATATTGTGCTAAAGTGTTTGGGCTACAATTTGGAATAGGAAATCATGGCATCGTCTGAACAAGTTTTCAGCACCTGATGATGGGAGAGAAGAGAGAAATTTTATTTTTTATTTTTTGACTGCAGAATTCCTGGATACTGTCTTTGAAATTATAAAGTCAAAGGCTTCCATTTAAGAACTATTTCTGGAAGCTCTTGAAACTGAAATAGACAAGAGGAAAATAATTGTGTCGTCATCGGGCGTACAGATATTTTCTCGTCATATTCTTGTGTTAGATTACTATAAGAAATGAATTATGCTAGGATTTTCCGCAAGAACGCGAAATTTTTTTACCTTTATTTGTTCCGATTGGGGACCAAAATTTTTTCAGTACGATGCCGAGAATATTATCCTTCTTCCACAAAGTTCAACTTCCTTAATTACATTTTTATAAACTTGGGCTTTCCGAAGTATTCGCGTATTTTTGAGTCTTATCAACGCTGGAACAACCCTGCAGAACCGTTGGAATATTTCTTATTGCTTCGGTGGTAAGATTAAAATCATTTTTAAAATTTCGAAAGACTTCTGACGCAACATGAGTTTTGCGTATACTGCACAGTACTTTACAGTATTTCTCTTATTCCAGGATCTTAATTTTCCATAATCAATTTTAAAATGTTATTGACTGTCCTGACTCCTGAGTCCTGAATGAACGAACGCCTTATTTTTCTTTTTTCAGGCTTTGTTGAAATGTACAATGCAACCACACTGCAATGGGTTCCCATTTGTGACCATCGATTTTCGGAGCGAAATGCAGAGGTTGTTTGCCGAGAACTCGGGTTTGATACGTTGAATATCAACTTCAAATTCGGACCCAGAATCGAGCTGCATCCGGATTCTCTAAGAAGAGTAATTTCTTGGCCAGAACCTCTTCGTTGTGATGGTAAGATAAATATTCAGCTGGCTTCCTTTTGCAGCGACACATTTTTTTATATACTCCGGTATTATAATTTCAGGAGACGAAAAGTCTTTGGAAACTTGCTCCATCAGGATGAACGGACAAATCTACGGAGCGACTTACGAATGTCCCTACGATGGTGCCTTTTTATTCGTCGAATGCGGAGAACGAAATTTAAGAAACAACTCTGAATACTGGGGAGGAATAAGGTGAGTTTCAACTTTCAAGCTTAATTTTTTTCCGCAAATATTTCATGAACTTTTTTCTTTTTGTTTTGAACAGATTCTCCGTACCAAATTTTGAGTATTCCATGGTTCATCGACGTCTGCATGATCACGAAACCCACGAGCCGTTCCACATTGCTGAGTCTGTTCTGGAGCATGTTGAAATTGAGTGAGTTGATGCACGAAAAGCTGACGGAAAATTTGCCGTGAAATTAATGTCATTACTTTTTTAGGGGAGCTGGTGTGCTTCACGGCGAGCTGTCGCCAGCAGTGGAGAGCGTTTTGGTGACGCCGAAGATTTGGTACACCACAATCCGAAACAGTGCTTGGCATGGAATTTCAATGGTTGCTCCTTTCGAAGATGCGAAGCTTTTGCATAATAGGTCTGTTTGTGATGAATTCGTGACGAGCATAGTTCCTCAAATATTGAAGGATGTTAACTTTTTTGCAGTTTTTCAGCAGTTAATGCACGTTTTAAATTTTTCCTTTTCGATGTACCGTATATATATATTTTTTTTGAAGGATTGAAAATAACCAAGGAGCCGGGATCAGCACGTTGGTCTTGAACGGAGATGGACAGGCTTCTGCGTTGAGTTCCTTCACGCCTTTGACTTCAGCTCCACTGTCATATGGACTTTTCGGCCTGGTCGACATATGTGACACGAACAAAGAAATTGAGGTGGAAGAAAGGATAATTCTGTACTACAAATACGACAACAGACCTGTGGATTGCGTCAAAATCTTCACCTCGAGCTACCAAATCAAAACCTTCGGTTTCCGGTAAGTCTATGTACAATTCTTTGAAATTGTATTCAATGTTATGATAACATTTGACAATTGAATGCATGTACTGTATCATATTGCTTTCGATTTCAAAGTTAATGTGCGATTGTTTTTCAGTTTGCTGTATTTCAACCTTTTCAACTCAACTGGGGAAGCCGGAACACCCGATAAAATAACTTTGTTCGACGGAGATGTATACAATATAACATCCAAGAAATTTCTGGCGGACATAGTAGCTGGGAAAGACAATGGAAGAGAATTTCACACCACGCTCACTACAAGTCTAAGCGTAAAACTTCACGCATCTGGTGGAAGCGGAAATTTGGGCTTTTTGGCAGAAGTTGTGACAATCCCTGTTTCTGCCGTTGGATTCAGTGAGTTATCTGCTGAAATTTAAAAAAACAGTAGTCTGATTTCAGCAAATTGTTGTCGGGAGAAATTGGATGTACTGTATATTAGATATGACAGGATCTTTAAGAAACTCTTCGAGAGACGGAAGGGGAAAATTCCTGAGAAAAATTCGCGGGAGGCTTGACATTTTTCATTATTCCTCAGCTGATCTGGCTTCGGAATCCATTGAAGAATATAGTACAGTTACAGTATATAGATTCTCTCTGCGACGATTTTCTCTGTTCAACGAAATGTTTTCCTGGTCCCAGCGTAGGAGCTCTCTGCTATTACAGTATATGTAAAGCCTCTCTCCAAGAACTTTTTTCTGGCCCCTAAAATGTCGTTGTGGAGAGAGTCCGCCTGTATGTTAAGGTGTCTTGATACTTCCAAACTTTAAAAAAAATCGTTCGGCTTTTATCGTGATTAATTTTTCGTGAACACTTATTTTAATGGACGTATGGAATCGTCCATTCGTCTTATTTTTTTCTCCGCATTAATTTTTCCTTGAAACGGTATTTCCGAAATCAATTCTCCCACGTCAGTTCCCCTCTGTCAAATTTTCTCGAGGTAGTTTTTCAATGGCCTGTGCTGATTCCCCGTTATCTTTTCTTGATTTTCGGTATTGTCTCTTATTCCCTCGACGTTTCCTCTCAACGGAATTTTCTTGAAGCACCCGTGCAGACGTTAGATTTTGTTTTGAATTTTTTTCCGAATGGGTTTCATGACTCTTGTCCAATTCTGATTTCAGGTCGAGATATTCAACACAACATATCGTATTCGATAATTGCGAACAACAGCCAAGGCGCAATTTTGTATTCAACTGCCGGAGAAGTGAACCCTATCGTTACTTTGGAGAGAAACCAGTTCAACTATAATGGCAGGTTGCTGTACGGAAACTTTACTACAAGCCTCGCTGCTGTTGTAATGAACGTGCAAAATACCCGCAACATTTTCTTCAAGGTTCGTGGAAATTTTGGCGCGTCATGATGTTTTCTCGTTTTAATTTTAACGATTCCTCCTCTGGCAGAATAATTTGGTGCGAGGAAATCAAGGTGGTCTTTGGGTGAAAGCTGATGCGTATAGCCGAGCAACTGCTTTAAAACTCTACATTTCGAACAGTTTCTTCACTGACACTCAAACGAATTCTGCTTTGGTCGTGAAAGGGAATCCTTCGGGAACTTATCAAGACGTTGATATGTTTCACACGTACATCACGCGCAGCAACTGTTCTTACGAAAATGTTATTTTGTTGGAAAAGGTAAGGAATATGAGAAATTTAGGTTTTCTTTTAAATTTATGATTCTAAATGTTGATTGTTCTCCATCAGGTGCTGGCTAATCTGACGTACAATTATATCCACAACAATCGCGGGCGCTTCATCATGAGAGTTGACGGCTTTAATCGAGTCCGGCTGCCGATTTTTCAAACGTTTTCACACAATGGGTTTTATTAGTGAGTCACGCATGCTTCTACATATGCTCGAATGATTCAACTTTTAATGTTTGTCTCGTTTTCTGTATAGCAATGTGGCATTGGACAGAGACAGGCCAGCCGTTATCGTTGCTGGAAGTGCAGGACAGCAATACGTTGACAACGTGTTCGTGAACCCGTATACTCCTCTGGAAATGATGACCTTGAACGTTTCAAGGTGAGTTTTAAAGTTGCTTTTTATTCAGAGTGAGGTTTTGAATTGATTTTGTACTCGGGCCAAGGTTGCATGTTTTTCTTTTTCTGTGATGCGTAAAATAAATTGGTGTTCCTCGTGTTTCGTTTTAAAATTTCCGTTCTCTTTTCAGTTTACTGAAAATCTCCACGTAATGTTTTCTTGCATTCATTTTTTCGGGATGCCCGAGTATCTTCTGCATTTTTTTTATCCTATGATGGATAGGATTCATAGATTTTTCTTCCTATACTGTCTATATACGAAATTTCGATTTTTATGAATGCTGTTCGTCAATTTTCTTTTTTATTGTGAAGTGTGCATGATTTTGAAGGTTATTTTGTGTTTTTATGCACTCCGTTTTGGGAATTTTTGCATGGCTCAATCATTGCCTGCTTTTGCACTGAAGGCAAGAGGTGAACATGTCAGAGTGAGTTTCTCTTTTTGCATGACCATTGCATTTTTTATACCTTATTTCACTCTACGTTCAAATTAAAATCATTCCGAATTTTTCTGAATGGAATGCAGTTCCGACGTTTGGAAAACGCCGATAGATGCAGTCGAAAATTGGTGGGGTTACAATCAATCAAATGTTGTCCAGGGAAGAATCAGGGATAAGAAGGACGAAGAGGACTTGCTGGAAGTTCGTTCAAATCCTTATAGAATGTCCAACAAGTGAGTTTCCTATCTGTCAGACTGAAAACTGATGATGTTCTATTCAAAAACTTAATGGCATTTTATAGAACGTTGCTGAGTGGAAAATGTCCACCTGGACACGTGTTGATCGGGGAAACGTGTTTCATTTATATCGGAGCTCCGGTGACTTTCGAAGAAGCGAAAGAGTTTTGCAAGGTTAGTCGTGGAAAACTTATATCCGTGTTTTCAAGTTAATTGACTATGCGTGAACAAAATATTTACGATGAATTTTTCTCTAATCGCAGATGGACAATTCCTCAATGCCTTATTTACAAAAGGACTACATTGACGTTTTCCGATACATCACGTCTCGTCAAGACGATTTCCAGAGATACGATTTTGTATGGGCTCAACATTACGATATTTTACGCTCGTGTTCAGCATTCATTGACCTGAGGATAGAACGCGTCGAGTGCCATTATCGCTTCCCATTTTTGTGCGAAACTGGTGAGTCAAATTTTCGAACGTGATTCCCTCGACTATGCTATATAACCCCTTATTGAAATTTCAGCATGGAATTCGGGATTATAGTGTGATGCTGTGGATGTATTTAATTGCAGATACGAGGATAGAAATCAACGCGTTTACGTGGCTCAGTGACGGAATTGCTGTTGCAGCCATATCAGCAACACTTTGCGCAGTTTTTGTGATCATGTTGTGCCTTGCGTTTTGGTTCATCAAATCAAGGCACCGTCATCAGGAGAAACTCGAACGTAGAAATTCCATCCGGGCGTCCATGCGATCGACAAGGTCCATTGTGTCTTCCACCAGCGGCGGTTTGAACGAATATGCCTTTAGACGACGTATCCTGCAGGTTTGTTATTTATCCTTGCCATTTCCAAATGCAGATCACTATGAATTGCTGCTCTCTTCTTCAACGTTTCTCCTTTGAGAATGACGATTAATCTTGGAAACGCCGAAAAAGTTGGATTGAGTGCTTTGTGTGAAAGCATGCACATCTCAATCTCGCATCTTTTTGCAGGATCAAAAATCGACGACCGGATCGCAAATCACCGGTTTGACGGGATTAACGGATTTAGCGAAGTTGCATGGTAGCATGGACTCCGTGACGGAAAAATCTCAGTTTGACTCATCGGTGGACGATAATCAATCATCGTATGAAACTTATGAAGCACGGAATCCAACCATGTCTTCCCACGTGAGTACAATTTTATTCATTGATACCGTAGAATTCCGTGACAACGAATTTCGTTTTAACGAACTTTTTTCTTGGTCCTGGAAGTTTTATATTGCAATATTGGCGTATGTTAAACATTTCATTTCAACAAACTCATTTTTGGCTGTAATCTCATTAAAACGAATTGTATTGGCCATGATTCTGTGCATGGGGCATATAGAGATTATTTGATGAATGTCGGAAAATTTGGAAATAATTGAAAGGTGCATCATTCCAATTTCATCGTATGAGAAAACTTTCTGCATAGGGAACTTAGCATTAAAAAAATATTCAGCCTGACGTATTTCTTGGAAATTCTTTAGCTCCATTTTATAGTGCATGCCTTTCTTTCGAAAAAATCATGTTAGAAAAATGATCCTCTATTCGAAAGGCGACAGCTATGAGTGAATAATTTGATTCAGGAGGAAGTGCAGCATTTCTACCAAATTCATTTTTGTTTCATCTATTTTTCAAGACATGCATTTGCAAGTGGAGAAAAGACTCGAAACTCTGTAAAATGGCTGTCACGCTACTTCTAATGAGGGATGCATTTTCTTTCAAATGCTACTGATTTTTGTTGAAACACTGTCGAATTACATAGCCCAGTAAGAGTTATTCATATAACAAATTTGCCAAATACGCAGACATTGCTCAATATTTGCCAAAATATTGCGGATTTCCGCATCTTCGTCCTGGTGTTGAAAGTTTGGTATTGTTTTCGTCCTGGCTTGATCATTGATTCCATTTGCCGTATTGAATTTTCATTTTTTAGATGACGATTGTGGGAATACCAGAAGTGCCTCCAGGCCAGTCCCGGAAACGCGTTGACGCGATGGTGCACCCCCATTTCAACCACAATCCCCACCTGAGCTACCATAACAATGGCTTCCGGGATGTATCCATGTCGACAGTGATGAGTCATAAGACCAACCATAATGGGCTCCACGAACCCGACGGTGAGCAGCAGCAGTCCAATCACGTAGAACACGACCGAGACTTGTGGGACGCCCAATCTGACTTGTCATCTTCGGCTGCAACGCCGTATTATTCGGGTCGTTCCACATTCAGAGCCCCGTCGGAGCAAGACTCGACATTCTCTGAGATGCCTGCGGGGCATCGCGGGACGATGAATTCGCATATGCCGGATTTCAGCAAACGTGAAGTCATTGGTGAGCACCTCATCTGTGTTACAATTAGAGACAGTATAATACTTTTTGATTTTCCTCAATGCAGCGTTCATCTAGAATAGTGTTCCTCGTCTTGGAGGTTTATCATTCCCATGTAAAGTAAATGTACGAGGGTTGGTTCATAAATTTTGAAAATTATTGAAATAGATCTAGCCGAGTTTCAACGAATCCAAATTTTTTGTTTTTACTTGCATAGCTTCATCATACGGCAACACGTCAGTGCAGCTCAACGTATTCTCAACCGATTTTAATGCATTTTTTTCATGCGATAAATGCAAAGATCAATATTAATAATTGCGTCAGTTATTGATCAAGCTGCTTTTGAGGATGGAAATGAAGCTGTAACTGTCCTCAAAATCAATTCCTTCATGATAATTCCTCACCGTCGGGAACATCCAGAAGTCACAGAATGCAATTATTTTTTTAGTTATTTTTTTGGTGAACAATTAAATCACAAAAATGTTTGAAAAAAAGTCGATGACGAAAAAAAATCCTGTGACTTCTGGCTGTTACCGCCGGTGAAGAATGATCTGAAAGGGATCTATTTTGAGGACAGTGACAGCCTCATTTCCGTCGACGGAAGAGCAGCTTGGATCAACTGACGCTATCATCAATTATTGTCAGTTTTGATCATTGGATTTATCGCATGAAAAAAAAATGCATTGAAATCAGTTGAGAATATGTTGAAAATCACTGAAGCGTAGCTAGATGATGGGACTATTTAATTGAGAACAAAATTTTGATTTTTTGTCAAATCTATTTCAATTTTTTTTTTCAACTCATGAACCATCTTTTGTATATGCGTACCATGCTGAATTGTGGTTGTGCTAATCATGACAGATTTTGTTCTATCTGAATGTGTATTTCAATAATTTTCTCACCCAATAATAAAAACGCATGATGTCCATTTTGTTGTAGGGAAAGAAGAATCGCCGCCTTCGCAGAGATCCCCGAGCTCGGCCTCGGCCAGATACGCTCAAGCGCAGTCGATCTCGACGTCGATCCGTCGTGGCGCCGGAGCTGCTTCCCCATATCGTCGTCCACCATCTTTGCCGCCATTACCGCCGACAATGGCGACGATTCAGCCGTTTTCCTCGATTCCCGTCAGTTCGGCGGCATCGACGGCAGCAATGCCGACGACCATCCCGAGTGGCCCACATTATGCGTCGACCACGTTGACGACTGAGTCTGGCACGAGTCCAGAGGATAGAAACGACGTCAACGGCGAAAGTAATATGGGGGCTAGAACGAAAAGTCAGCCGCTGGAAACGGCCATGTGATGAATGATTCCTGTTTTTATTTCCCCTGGATGCATTCCACGGATTCTCAGCATTTTTGTTATCAATGCTCGTTATTGTGAGGTGTCCGAAATGCTCTTCGCACATATTGGTCGCAGTGTTATTTTGAACGGCTCTTTGATATTCAATGGTGGGATATTAAGTTTTGTGTGGGCTTTCCTCGCTCGAGGTCCTTGTTAACCCCGTTTATAGTAAAGGGAGTATTTTTTCTTGATTTGTGAAGGATCGGATCGCTTTTGCAAATTTTGATTTGAAAACTCAGAGGAAATTCCGAAAAAAAGCAGAACTGTGATTCAAATACTGTACGACTGAATTTTGACAGGTGCAGAAGCGTTCTTTCTCTTCAGGATACTATTTCAGTCTTAATATTCCTCACGACAAAAATTAAGGTTGAATTGCTCGAAGCTTATGAAAGCTTAAAAAATTTGTAGAATCGAAAAATGTTCTAACTGTAAGACTCGTATGCAGACACCCTGCACCACAAAGGTATAAAGAGGAAAGGAAAGAAGATTATTTCAACAGTTGCAGGAAAAAGGTTATACTTAATTTTCAGCAACTGTTACGCCTCAAGGATTGTTTTGTTATGTGTTAAATTTTATACAAGGGCGGATCTCGATTTCGAACATTGGTAAATCTTGTCAAGTGCGCTTTATTCGTTATGCCCGTACATTTTATGTTCGCGTTTTCATCACCTCGTTGCTCGGGAAACGTACATTCCTCTCATTTACTTTTTTGTTTGCTTCATCGAGTGAATGACGATTTATGCATATTGCACTTTTTGTATATTCAGCGCGAACCTTTGGCAAATATGCCGCTGTACTGTGATCGCTTGACCGTACCAAATTTTTGTTGGTACTCGTCCTCGGGCTGAAATCAAATTTATTACTTGCATTCAGGAAGTTTATATTCTGTGCTTTTGGAAATGAAGCAGATTTTTTCTTGTGCTTATTCATTGATTGTCTTATTTTCTAAACGTGTTAAAGATTGAAATGTTTGACGTATCAAAATTACGGAAACGACCTTGTGTATATATTTAGGTTTCAACGACCTCTTCATGCCAATCAGAAGTTCCGAATCAAATGGTGATACGACTTATACTGTGTATAATCACGTGTTCTTTCTGCTTCGCAGATTTTTCAGCATTCGATTGAAGAAAATTTAAACGAGTTTTGCGTTTTCAAAAAAAAAAAACTTCCCGTTTATTTTCCCGCGTGCATAAAAAACTTCATAAAACAAAAAACCGGGTCAACATAATGATTCAATGGTGCAAAGACGAAACGAAGGAAAGACGAAACGTACTTCTCCACACAAAACAGAATAACGGTTTTTTCATAAACGTTCTTTCGTTCCGAAATTTCATCAACCGTTGTTCGTGATGCCTTCATTTCGCCGTGAAAACTCCTTGATTCTCGCGTTGATCTTCCAATCATCCAATGATTATCATCGGTTACTTTGGTTCGTCCAACGAAGCGGATTATTCTTCCGGACATTTGTCAGGTACACTTGGATTCGGTCGCACTCCTTGGATTCCTCCGTGAGCGTTTATTTCATCTCGGTACCTTTTGAAGGACAATTCCATTAATTATCTCGAAATACCATAGTTTTATATCGTTGGAAACTGAAAATCTCCTCTGTAAAATGCCACTTGATTTAATTTCACACACATTTTTGTTGTTGCGGAAAATGGAAAAAAAAAAATTCGTGTCGTGCGAAATCATTTCGAGTTGCTTTGGATTCTCGTTCGCCCAATTGAATTTTTCACATTAAACAAACTCATTATTTCAGAGGCATCTAAAAAATATAAACTTACAATTTCAATGGGGAAAAAACTGAAAATCTGCCGATTTTATACATTCACTCATGAGTAACGACGACGATGCGTCTCATCATAAGCCATATAGGTTCACAAAAAGAGCAATGTTAGATTAAATTTGATTCCAAAGACATGTTTAGCTCAAGTGTTTGAAAAAAAAAGAATATACTGTACATGTATATATATATTACTGGATATTTTTAAAATTACTGTAAATGAGTTGAAGCGGTATTCTTTGCGAATGACGCTTTGGAACTGCTGCACACGAAGGGGGATTCAAGAATCCGCAGATATATTTTTGTGACAAAATCTGCATGTGACGTGTCTATACAGTATACTTTTTCAGAATCATGCAAATATATTGCACAGAAAACAAAACATTGTTCGAAATTTGTTTGCAAAATAAATAAGCAAACTTGCACCTTATCAGATTCATGACACAATATGGTGGAGCGGGTTATTATGGTGTCGCGAAGTTTCGAAAAATGAAAAAAGCAGCTTAAGTCAAGTAAAGCGCAAACAAAAATTTTTTTGACCCATTTACTCACCTGTCCACAAGAGCCCGGGACTGTCTCGGATAATGACGAAGCATGTACTTGGCAATAAACTGGATTTTGTCAAAGTCATCCTGGGTGCAATAGCTGCACTGCGAGCGCCCAGCAGCCGCAGGCAACGCTTCTGCAAACACAATCAAAGAAAACCGCACCCCGAATTACACATACAGATATACTGTACTGTAGTTCTCACCACCATTTGCCCAAGAATTATAAAGAATGGCCATGAGACACGAAAATATCCCGAAATACATGAAAAGGAATAATGTTTTCTTCCATTTAAATAGAGAGCAAAAACGAACATTAAATAAAAACGCCAGTTCAGCGAACCTCGCGTACATAATGAATAAAAAGGGCCGGCGGCACAGAGCAGACTTGGCCTTGTAGTTATGCAAGCAGTTTGCTTCACCTTAGACAAACTTGGACGGTTACGAAACTGAGATTTCAAGGCTGAGCCAGGTGTTTGTTTCTCTGCGCTACATCCCTCCAAAATTAACAGAATATAAAAGAATAATACGATCAATGATTGCTCATCAAGTCAAAAAAATAATAATAATAGAACCAAGCGGACGAAGTACCGAATTATTTACACAAAAAAACAGTGATTCATCTTTCCGGCTCTGTTTATATACAGTAGTGACGGAATATTCAGGAAATGATCAGGATTTTTTCATGCATTTCAAATGAATCGAAGTTACGCAAATTTTTCCTGGCAACGTTTTTATGATTCTTACAGTGCTGGTGCAGTTGTTGAGACCTTGAATGTTTTCTGACATTATCCTATCCGATTTTATTCAGGAGTTAAAGAACCGTTGCCTCGGGAAGCACTTATTTTTATTTTTGCGAAATAAATTATTCTCGACTATAGGAGGAGAATAAAACGAGAAATATTTTATACGGTAATTATTCTGCAGAAGCAATTATATGTATTGTCGAAAATATGCTATACAACGCGGGAAAAAGTACACACTCAAAATCCGAATCCGCATATTTCATATCTCTGAAGAAAAAAATTTTACGAAAGGAAATTCAAAGAACGCACGACGGTTGTCCCAGTTGGACGCGACCTTTTATATTTTTAGAGTTGGTGCAATTGTAAAAAAAAAAAAAAGAATCACGACAAGGCTCAAAATGTTCGAATGTTCTGGGATTTTTTCGGATTTAAAGAAAGGTTTTTTTAATTTACTAAATGTTGATGAGTGAAAACTTTCCAGTGATCGCCAGATGGAGTTCTCCACCCGTGTCACAGATCTGAAAATTTTCCTGGTCTGTTGAAAAGTGGAAACATTTTGTTGTTCCACCGATTATATTCTTCCATTTTACATAATGGCTGAAACAAGAAAAATTAAATTTTTAAGCAAGCTTTACACTTTTTGCAGCACCCTGTGACATGGGCGCACGGCTGTTTTTTAATAACAGGAAAGTTTTCAGTTACTGCAGTAAATTGAAAATTCTTCGTTAATCCGAAAAAACTCCCAGAACCTTAAAACGTCATGGGCTATATCAGAATTTTTCTGTACCATCACGTACACCTAATCTGAAAATGTCAAAGGTCGCTTCCGACTGGGACAACCCTCGTATACATATATACGACTCAATATTCGTCTATACCTCGAAGGAAACTGCTGATGCCCTGGAGGTGTTTGGAAACACCTTGCGAGCAAGCACCACTGTCGGGCTCAAGTGCACATTCCACTTGCTGGTTCACGAACCTCGGGTTCTTCAAGAACTTGCAAATTGCCTTGTATGGGGGAAATTGGCGAAAGGGTCTGTCCCCGCCGCGTCCCGGAGCAGGAGCTATCGCAGCACTGATGGGATCCCCGCCGGGTCTCCCAGATTCAAATGGTTGCTGTTGACGATTGAATGGTTGTTGTCGCTGGGGGAAACCCTGGAATCCAGGTGGCGGTTGTGCAAATCCGAGACTGACGCAGCAAGCGAAAATTAGCACCAGTTTACGCAACATTTTAAGAAACGGGTAAAAAATGTGAGCTGGCACACCTGCGGGATATAAAAATGCAGTGTCGCGGAATCAAAAACGGAATAACTCGAAGTTGACCTTTTCACGTTTTGCGCACAATGTTTTATTCGTATTATAATAAGCTACGATAATAAATTCGATTCAGTTCCAATATTGATGGATTATTTTTAAATTCTTTGACACGTGAGATACTTGAGATCCCATCAGAATCACATTTGAATTGGTCCAAAAAATATTATAACCAAAGATGACCCTGATTTTATAGTCAGTCGTAATCAGAATTTTATAAAATAATAAATCAATTTTGAAAGCCCATGCATGCTTCAGAGATATATTTGAACATTCAGAAAATTAGACCAATTTCCCAAGAATAAATGACCACTGAAGGTTAAAAAAAATTCTTCTAAAAACTGCCCAAGGATTTTGTAAAATATTTTTTTCATTTTTCTCTAAATAATGTGTAACGCATTTTTAAAACTTGACCGCAACGTCGATGACTAATTTTTAAAAGTAATATTCAAGTAATATCGCATTATTTTTGAACAAGTTTGGCGAAGAGTTATACAATTTTAAACTCTCAAAACCCCCATTTGCTTTAATTTGCTCCGTAATGGAAGGTCGATTCAGTACTCCTTATTTCCAAAATAAATTCCAACATTATCGTGAAAACGTTGAAACGTAGAGAAAAACAGAGAAATGAACTCATTGTAAGCAATAAAATTACTTCTCAGAATAAGTAAATTCATGAAGAGAATATTCTGAAGGAAATGGGAATTCTTCAATGCCGCCCTATGCAGAACCCGTGAGGATATTGAATGACTGAAATAAATTTGAGGATCTCGTGACTACTGAATCAATTAACCTTTATAAATAACATGACATTTCCGAATTATTTTGGCAATTTTTATACGTGCAAAAATAGCGTAGTATCAATGAAAAAATCATGGTATTCCTGAGTCCTTTAAAATTCCTTTTCAACTGAAACTAACTTCACGTAAATCAATTTAGTACAATACATGTACCATAATTTGCTTGAAAGCGGAAAATATAACCTAAATTCAGAATCATGCTGAAAAATAAAGATGTCCTTTAACAAATTGCATTCACTTGAGCAAAAATATAATAATAATAACAATAATAATTTGACTTCAGTCCGTTTTTACCCGCCCAGAGAAAAATAAAAAAAAACTACGTTCGGTCAACTGCTATATGTATATAAATGTAAATTGAGAAACATAAATTTGAAGCACACCCGCTGGGCAAGGATAGGGGTCGTGAACTGAAGTCAGTGCAGACGAGTGGACGAGAATTTATACACAGAGCCAGCTCACACTTCCTCGCGATAAAAATGACAATCCTCATTATTTGCAATCAACGACTTTGTCCTTGACTGTTTCGGGCTCTTCTTGGAATAACCGCAATGTCATTGCAGGCTGTTTAAAATCACGTTCTCTGCGGTTTCCTCCAAAGTTCTTCAACCTATACCCCCTTTTTTTTCCCCCTGACCAACAGTCATCGCATCACCATCAGCAATATGAGAAAGGGGGGAAAGGGAAGCGTATTCGGGCAACATCGCACCAGGAAGTTGGGGTTAGCGTCGAAGAAACTGCGCATTTTCGTGAGTCAGGTAATAATAAGTGCCTTCCTTGATTGTTTCTCGTGCTTTCTATATTTACCAGTCTATTCGTTCGCCTGGAACACGCCGGGTCTCTTTAATCCGTCCTTCGTTATTTATTCTTACACGCGCAAAAAATTTTGAAACAGAAAGTTGCAGAATATTCACGCGAGCGGGGCACTTTTCGCAAGAAAGAATATGGCATGAATCCGAAACTTCGCTGGTTTCATCTGCCAGAAAGACGTTCATTTCAAATTTATATCACTGCGTCATATTTGGGGTGATTCAACCTACTTTGAAAATTGGCTTTGGAAAACTTTCTTATAACACGGCTCAAATTTTTTAGAGTTCATCGACACAAAGGCGAAAGAGAAAATGGCCGGATTCGCTTTCCAAGCATAACTTCGATTTGCAAAAATGCAGAAGATACGGAGATGTTTTTGTGTGAATTTTAAAATAATCCGACTGAATGCAAAACCTTATAGTTTTGTGATAAAACAGCAGAACTGAAAGGGAAAATAAATCGACTGGAAACTAACTCACGTCTAATATCAGTAAATTTTGGCAAGAAGCTGTGTTTTTATTATTGTCAATTTGAATCTCGATCATTAGATTCACGCCGTGCTTTCAAAATCAAAACTATGTATGGCATTCTTTATAAGTATACCACATTTAAAACTGGATTATTATAAAACAGCTTTTGGCAATTCAAGGATATCCGATTGAATTGTGTTGCACAAAAATATATTGAATCTGAGTCTATTTTTTTGACGGGTTATCGTTTTTCACCGTTTCAGCGAATGAATAACGTTACCCTGAAATGAATAAATCATGAAAGTTGCACTAAACTGCCGTGAACTGCTTAATTTAGAATTTCACTTCCAATAAAATGAATATGAAGTGATTTGTTGGGTGTCGTTGATGAACAACCACGATAAACGCTGTCAGAAATTCTAAGAAAAATACTGTATTCAATAGCTTCAAAAAGAAAATAATTTTCAAAAGTGAGGAGAAGAAGTAGGCGGAGATTTGCGATGAAACTGAGCATAATTTGAGGGAAAATCTCCAACGAAATTCGTGATTGAAAATCATCGAATAATTTTTGCACATTCGCGCTCCGTTTATTCTCGTCCAACATCATACACTGCTGCATTATTTCGACACACTTCTTCATATTATACTCGGAAATACTATATTTCAAGAAATCCACATACTTTATACGACATGCTAAAATATTTATAGTGTTTTTTTTCTCAAATGAAATAAATAAGCACAGGTTTTTCTCTGTAGAATGAAAGTGACGACGTTTCCGATGGAACACTGTAAACTTTTGAGCTACCCTGTCCTGCGCAGCGGTTGTATTTATACAGCTCACACCTCATTTTTCGCGCGCCTTTTTTCTTTCCCTTCGTCATCTCTTCCCCGCGTGTCCGAAATATCTCGTAAGTTGACCGATAAGCACACATCTATTTTTCTTTCAATCGTAAAAAAAGATAAGGTGGGGAGAGACAAAAAAAAACAATAATCGCTTCAAAGTCATCGCGACACGCGGTCGTGACACTGGAACAACGGATGCGAAATCAGCGCCTGCGGCGCGGAGGAAAATTCGTGTCCGAATGCCTCGCGGGACGAACTCGATTCGGACGCGTCCCGCGGGGCCGAGTATAGAGAGATCTGGACGATGAGGAAATCTCCGCTTCGTTTTGCTGATGAAATCCCGTTTCCGAATAATGCATCCCTCGCATGGCATTCTGCATATATTGATGCGAACTATACGAAGGAATTCCCCGAAACAAAACGAAAGAATGGGTACGATTCGAATTGAAACTGATATGCATGCCGCGCGGCGCGGGATATGAACACCGCGGCATCAGCAGCCGTTCAGCACACATACTTACTCGAACATCAAAATCCATCAGGCAATTATCCGTGCCTTTTTGTCTTTGAAATTGGATTCAAAAAGTCTGAAGGAAATAAGCATTTCTGATGGTGAATTTTTTTTTTTTTGAAAGTTACGAGGGCCGTTATAGGTTCATAAGTCTTGAGACTTTTCGGAATAGATCCAACGGAGCTTCAAAAATTCCTAAAATTGCTTTTATATATACAGTACTCAATTCGCCTCATCAATTGGCAACACTTCAGTGCTGCTCAACATTCTCTTCGCATTGCATTCCACAGTAACGCAATTATCAAATTTTCGGCATTGTTTTTGTCATTGGATTCATCGCATGAAAAAATGCATTGAAATCGACGCAGAGAGAATATTGAACAGCACTGAAGAGTTGCCAAATTATGGGGCTATGTGAGTAATAAAAAGAGATGTTCGCCATTGTCGGAACTGTGATTGGAACTGTTTCTAAAAGTCTCAAGACTTATGAACCGGCCCTCGTAGAATTATTTAATAATAAATATAAAAATAAATAAATAAAAATAACTGTGTGCGCGCATATCTTTCCATTCGTCTCAATGTACATGTATAGGTGAGTTTTACTCTAAATCTTGCTTCGAAAATTCTGAAAGAAAAAAGGCTCTTTTTTGAAAAAAATTCTGAAATCTGAACAGCAGCACTGTCATTATTAAAAGTATTCCTTTTAATTATCTAAAAGTATGTGCGATCATATCTTCCTATGCGTAATGCTGATTTTACTCGAAAATTGAAAACTCAGAAGGAAAATATTCTCTTTCATATTGCAAAAATATCCAATCTACTGATAAGAAATTTAAGGTATAGAATAATCGATCTAAAATTAGTTGCAAGCACCTCTGCATGGGTCCAAAAACACGTATAAAAATTTCAAGAGAAAACTCATTACCATGATAATGCAAATAACCATGCTTAGTTTTAAGCCATATATTTCGAGAATTTTCAAAACTCGAAGACGGATCTGAAAATGCATTTGCTGATTTCTTAGTAAACCCTCTCTTAAAAATAGCAATTGACAAGTGATGGTACATACCATACTTAATTATGTAGAATCAAGATGAGCAAAACATGTTCAATATTGTTCTAAATTTTGGGGGGAAAATATTATGCTGAACAGAAGCGCCACAATCGAAGTTAATTTATTCAAATCCCTTCTGAGTTCATTTCTTCAAATTGTTCTGGCCTTGAAAATTTCCTGGATAAAACAGCATCCAAAAGTACAGCAAGAATGGATAACAGAACAGTATGTGAAGGAAAAGTCAAATAGAAAATTAACTGGAAGCTGATCTTTGCTTTCTTGTAAATGAAAATTTTAATAAAAACAATATATGAACCTTCCTCGGCAAAATATATTTGAAGACGAGTCATCATCATTGAAGTTTTTCAGTTTTGTTTCCGCTTAAAAATCCTTGAAGAGAGATCGACTCGAAATTTTATAAATGGAAAAGAGTTTCAGTAACTTCCGAAGAAAAAGTACAGTCGAAG